TGTGCGCAGCAGAAGCCACAAAGCCTTGGTCCAACAGTGAGGGAGCAGAGCCGTGGTTAAGAATACCCAGTTATTACTGTGGTTCAGCAAACACCAGCCCAAAATGTGTTACTGGAAAGAAGCACCAGCCAGGACGGGAGGAGGTTTGGTCCCAGGCCAGGGCTGTGTCCAGGAGGAAGCGGGACACCAGGATTCTGCTGTTGCAGAACATGTTGTTTGCTTTACAGGCAGGAAGACAAAAACGCTAATGTGTATGTTGCTTTCCAGACAAGTCTCTCAAACACTACCCAAGGAAAGCTCACAGTGTTTCTCTTGGTAATAAGTCTGAGCACACCGGGACGATGAGCAAGGAGCTGGAACAACCCTGAGGACCGAGCCTGAGAACTGCCCTGGTCCCCGGCTGCACCCAGCTCCGCAGGCACCTCCGCAGCTACAGCCCAGGCGCAGCTGGGGGAAACTCCGGGTCAGCTGAGCTCCTGCCTGCCTCAGCGAGAGCCAGGGGTGCAAAAATAGCCTGGAGACACCCAGGGAAGGAAAGAGAAGGGCTGTTTGCTCAACCACTCCTGCTCAGTTCAGCCCGGCTAAAGGCATGTACGTAGACAGGGTCCGAATAGGATGGAAGAAGCAAAGTTATCCAGGTGGGAAAGGAACAGGCTGAACAGAGCTCCTCAAAAGATGACCCAATCTGAGCAAAAAGAAAATGAGAGAGGGGAAAAAAACTGGAAACAGGGGCGTAGTTAAAGACAGACTATCAGACAAGAAATCACCCTGTAACAACAGAGAGGGAGCCTCCAACCCTTCGGATGGTACCTTTGTCAGGGCAAAACAGGACAAGCGGGGGGAAATCTGGGTGCTATTGTCTGCGTAAGATCTTCCTCGTAAGGCACAGAGGCCACAATTCCAGCACAAAGGAAACTGTGGCTCGGAGCAGGCAGCACATCATGGAAAATACTTAGAGGAAACCAGCTCTGGAAAGGGCCCCGGGGATCCTGCCTGCCCCTGCCCCGAGGGAGCGACCGAGTCATGTCTGATAAGGCTTTCAGGAGGGCTTTCCACTTGGCCAGTGATAAGAACTCTGCAGGCTGTGTCTCACTCCCCGCTATTGTTAAGTTTTTCACAGTCCCCTTGCAGAGTCTCTCGCTGCACTCCACGCCCATCACTTCTCTCACAGAGGGTGGGAGAACAGGTTACTGCCCTCCTCTATAATTCACCGACAAATTAACATGTTTTCCTCCCCCCTTTATTTCACTCTTCACCGCGGGGTTTTTTCCTTTTCCGTAGATGAGCAGCTCTGACCCTTGCAGTCTGGCAGGCGCTGATGTCAGCCCCTGCCCCGGGCTTGCCGCTCCCCGGAGGATGGCGCCCGCCTCCCCTGAGGTGAGGAGCTCAACACCAAAGGCAGGGCAGCTGCCGGGTTTGTCCGTGTGCTCATGCTACAGGCCCCGCTGCTGTTCAGGTTAAGGCTGTGATTTGCCTCACCTGCTGATGGATAAGCGTGGTCTCGGTTCTGCCGCTGGCACTCGGGCAGAGCCGGGCCGGGCGCTCCCCCGCTGCAGCCTGGCCAAGCCCGCTACGCGCCGAGTCGGGTTCCCGGGCCGTGGCCAGAGCCTCGGACACCTGCCCGGGGTCCGGGCAGCTCCCAGGGCCGCTCG